AGGTCAGAAGAGGACATCAGATCCCCTGGAACTGGAGTCACGGACAGTTGGGAGCCACCGTGTGGGTGCTGGGATTCGAACCCGGGTCCTCTGGAGGAGCAGCTGGTGCCCTCGCCTGCTGAGCCGTCTCGCCAGGCCCCTGAGAATCCTGACACTTTGTACATGAAGTTGTCAGAAAAAAGTGATGGGGAGATATGGGAGGAGGTGGAGGGGAGGGAGTGGGCGTGGATTTGATCAAAACACCTTATATGACATTCTCAATAAATTATTTAGAAAACAAGAATCTCTTCTCCATTTTTGAACACACAACTCAGATTTTTCAGTGCTTGGGGGCCCATTCTTGTTACTGTCCTATGAACACCAATGTATTAAATACCGAAGTCAGACACCTTATGTTAAATATCCTCAGTTTTTTGATAACTGAAGATCCACTCCTTCAGGACCACAAGGCAAGTAGATGCAGCTTTTTAAAACAACGCACACAGAGAGAGCATGGAAGGCTGTCTTCATGTAATTCGATTACAAATATTGAATAGAGGCTATTAGAAGGCAAATTTCTCGAGTGCATTAGTTCAATTTCATCTTGCCCATATTGACATTAATGACGTTGGACTACGAGTGTATTTTGCTAACTTAATTTGTATAAGGGGACCATAGTAAACATACTTCAAAAATTGATAATCAGTGCAACGGTCCACATAATAAAATTTTAGAGAAGGAGAATTCCAAGCTCCGCACTTATTCATTCCATTACAAATATTTCTTAAATGTGCCTCTATACCTCTCTATGGTATATTCTTCCAGCGTGAAGACTTGGAAAAGCAATTCTCTGGATAGAAAACTACTCTCACACACGGCAGGATTTTTTTTCCTGTCTATTCTGTGTGTTCACTTGTATGCGTGTGTCAGCAGACGGCAGTACATGGAGATCCACGTTTTGATTTGTGCTAGGTTTCTGCTTTCTCCACACCTGTCCTCGGGTTTTGCAGATTGTTGTGTGAAAGATATTTTTCAGATTACAATTATATTTACTATATTTATTATACAAATAATCTGACGGATGCATCATCTAACCCCAATCCTATACTGAATTTACGTCAATTATATCTGAGAATCCTGACACTTTCTGATGGCGTGCTTTACAAAGATCTTTGTGAACTGAAAAATCTACTGACCAAGGACAGACTTGGATTTTCCACTGAACACTCTATTTTTCTCTTTCTCAAACTGATATCAACATTTTGTGCCATACTCCATGAGACCATCATATGAATTTCTTCCTAAAGCAGTTAAGATGTAAACGGTAGAGAAATGAACCAATCACAGCGAATCTGACCACTAAATACTGTATCATGTTCGATTGACTGACTGATTATGTGAGTGTCCCCAACCCTGCGGTCACTGCTTTTCCTTTGGGGCATCCCCTTTAATTCCATGGAAACTTCCTAATAGTCTGTGGTGAAAGTCAAACAAGGAAGGATAAGTTTCTTCCCTACTTCTTCCCTCTTTGCCTCTCTAAAGGGGACGCACTGCGTGGAAATTGACCGCATCCTCGCAATTACAAAAAACATATGTGAGTGCGGGTGTTTGGGTGGGAGGGGAGAGGGACTGTGGGTGCAGGGGATGGAACTGGAGGACAAGGGCATCCGGGTATAGACGCTTGACGGCATAGGGCTTACCATATATGATAGAACGCATGAGGTCCGTGCAGGGAGAAGTAAGGGGGGGACATGGATGGGGCAGGGGTCAAATTTGATTAAGAATTATTGTATGAAATACACACAACTCAACCAAAATATTTAAAAACTATGTATGTCATGCATGGGGACTCACACTTTTAATTCCAGGTTTATGGAGGAAGAGGCTGGGAGATCTCTTTGAGCTTAAGACCAGTCTGGTCTACATAGCAACTGTCAGACCAGCTGGTGCTTACTGGGAGATGTTGTTAAGAAATTGTACGAAAATACATCTGGGCATGGTGGCACATGCCTGTAGTCTCAGCACTTGGGAGGCAGAGGCAGGCGGATCTCTGTGAGTTCAAGGCCAGCCTG